GAGTTCCGCAATAAGATGAAACATCCATCTAGTGGGTTCAAGTTTTTCATGATAGTTTCACCTCAATTGACTCATGAATTCAACTATTAAAATATTAATATTACCCAAAACGATAGAATCATCATTAATGATAATCAGTTAGTTGTAAATGTAGTAATGTAGTACAAAAGTACACGAATGTATTCTATATGTTATACCACTTAGTAATAATATAGAATTATCTAATTTCTTACTATATTACAATTAATAATATGGATGTGTAATAAAGAGGGTCATTGATAATTTGTGTATGTATGTATGTGTGTGTGTGTGTGCGTGCTAATCACTGAAGATTTTATCATCTCAAATTATTGAAAGCCTCAAAATTGTCTTAATTAACTAAAAGAAGAAAAATAAGAAGAAAAAGAAAAAAAAAGAGAAGAAACAGTAAGACGTATTGCCACAAATATACACACTCACACACACGCACGCACACACACACGGACACACACACGCACATATAAATTTATCCAAATAAATATTTACAATATATAATTCAACCTATTTCATGCAAGAATAAATAAGCCTATTTGTATTTGTATAAATAAAAATGGAATGTGTAGCCTCTTTATTATTATTATTATTATTATTATTATTATTATTTTCTCTACTTCTTTTTTTCTTTTTTTCTTTTTTTTTAGTTAAACATTATTCACCTGTAAAGATTTTTGTTTTCTTTTATTCTTCTTTTTGTTTTTCTTCCTTTTTTTTTTGTTGAAAATTTACACTTTCACCTACTGTGATTACACCTTATTCTATAATGAACTACATACCATTGAATAACAAATTTATGCCGCTATATGATTATAGAAAACAAAATAAAATGATAGATAACTCTTTCTCTCTCCCTCTCTCCATCTCTCTCTCTCTACCTCCCCCCCCGCATCCCTCTTTATCTCTCTTCATAGATGTATGTACTTAAAAAGGAAACGAGCAAAAGTGTGTAGAACAAATACTTTATCATTACTATTAGTAGTAGTAATAGTAGTAGTAGTAGTAGTAGTAGTAGTAGTAGTAGTAGTAGTAGTAATGGTTACAAACACTTTCATTTATATGGAATTTTCTTTTTACATTTTCTCGTTGAAATATATTTTCTTTCTTTTCCGTATTCTTTTTTGTTTCTATATTTGTTATTCGAATAATCTAGAATGATATTAACTTTATCTATATGTATATAGATAGATTTATATATCTATTGACTAGTATAGAATATATCTTATTCATGTAAATAGATAGGCCAATTTTGACCCGTTTCAAATGAATTGATGCTATGACTATATAGTTTGACTTACCTCTATATCTATCGATATGTATATAGGCATATGTATACTGATATAAATAGATAGATGAATACAAAGTGAATTATTGTTTAATTCATTCATTATTTATTTCTATTTGATGATGTTAGAATTATAAGGTCAAACTTTGCCTGGTATATAATCGTTACCAATGTATATTTCATTGTATATATGATGATGATGATGATGATGATGATGATGATGATGATGATTTATATTCTTTAGGGAAATGTTTAGTATCTAATTGTCATTTGTATTAGATAGTTTTGGATTGATTTCATAAAGTGATCGAGAAGAACTCTTATAATTAAATACTCATATAGATTATTAACTTGAAAGATAGTAACTAGGCGGTTTATTTGAATATCTGAGTTATCTATTCCTTACTTTACTTACATACTAACTTACGCCTGCCGACCAGCATTCGCCAACACACTTTGTCCTGGGCATTCTTTTCTCATATCTATCTCCATTTCCCGGCGTAATATGTTCTTTGCTCATTCTCTTCTCCTCGTTAGGCCTTGAGGATTCCATGTAAGAGCTTGTCATGTGACACAGTTGGGTGCTTTCCTCAATGTATGTTCTATCCACTTCCAGAAACTTTTCCTGATTTCGTTGTTCACTGGAACTTGGTTTGTTCTCTCCCACAATAGATTGTTGCTCATAGTGTCCGACCAATGGATCCAAAGTATTTTGTGTAGACAACTGTTAATAAACACTTGTATCTTCTGGATGATGGCTTTCGTAGATCTCCAGGTTTCCTCCTCTAGATATCTATTCCTATCATATAGATATTTCAACAAATTATCTATTTTCTTGTTTTTTTTAATATATGATTATGTCTATTAATCTTATAACCTATTCAGATGAGTTTGTAAATAGTTCATAACTTTTTCATTGTATAAGTTAGAAAAGAGCACAATCAGAGATATCATGATTGTTGGCAATATTCATACGAAAGGAATATACATGATTCAGATGTCAATTCCTAAACTGGTAACAGCTAACTGGCGATCACACAATATTTATCTCAAGGATCGATTAAGAAATAAGAAACGCGAACTTGTTGAAATACTTTGCCCTGAGAATTCTATAAAAAGCAGCAATCTCTGAATCAGTAGGTCTCAAAATACACAAAGGGAGAACAAAGGTCCTAAAATACAACACGGAGAACAGTAATCCAATCACTCTTGATGGCGATACTCTGGAAGATGTGGAATCCTTCACATACCTGGAAAGCATTATCGATAAACAAGAAGGTTCAGATGCAGACGTAAAGGCGAGGATTGACAAAGCTAGAGCGGCATTCCTTCAACTGAAGAACATATGGAACTCAAAACAACTTTCAACCAATATCAAAGTCAGAATCTTCAATACGAACGTCAAGACAGTCAGTTCTACTGTACGGAGCTGAAACTTGGAGAACTACAGCAACCACCATCAAGAAGGTACAGGTATTTATCAATAGCTGTCTACGCATGATACTCAACATCCATTGGCCGGATACTATCAATAACAGCTCTCTGTGTGAGAGAACAAACCAGCTTCCAGCTGAAGAGGGAATTAGGAAAAGACGATGGAAATGGATAGGACATGCATTACGCAAATCATCAAACTGCATCACGAGTCAAGCCCTAAGGTGGAATCCTGAAGGGAAACGGAAAAGAGGAAGGCCAAAGAACACATTACATCGGGAAATAGAAGCGGATATGAAAGGAATGAATAAGAACTGTAAAGAGCTTGAAAGGATTGCCTAGGACAGGGTTGGATGAAGAGTTCTGGTAGGTTGCCTATTCTCCTTTTAGAGGAGTAAAAGGCGTAAGTAAGTCAGTAAGTAAAGCTAATAATAATAGTATAGATTATAGGATTATAGGCAATTGTTATCTAACTAAAAATCAACCAAAGTGAATTATATTCAAATTCAACAATATAATGTAACATTCTATTCTAAAGGTAATCAGTTTATATCAGTAATTGAATTTAAGAATTCACAAATTTCTCTTGTAAATTTATAACAGGTTGAGTTTTAAAATTATCTGCCTGGAGCCCATCTGTAGCTACTGACGATCCGAAGCCTGGATAATGAAGGAAGGTTGGGCATAAGGTTATCGACCCCCTCCTGTAGAAAACTAACTTGCTAAACAAAAAACCGCTAAAAGTGAAATTGTCATCATATTTGACATTAGTAGTATATAATAATAAATTTGAGTGAATTGGAAAATTTAAGGTTATAAATTATAACTCCGTGGTGTAAATATAATATACCTGAAATAAACTTAAATATCACTGTAACAATCAGTCATAGAGTTAAGGATCAGCAGTAATTTCAATAGTTTATATCATGAGTCAGTTGAAGCTAGACCATCATGGAAAACCTGGAAGCACTGGACGGCCGTCTCGTCCTATTGTGGGACTCCTTCTTCTGATAGTAATCAACATATGCTTACTAGTGACTGGCTTCAAGAGGTATATCCTACAGTTCTAGTGAGAAGTAGTGACCAGTGGAGTTCAACTAGCTCTGTTGTAAGATAGTAACTCACTGATGACAATGGTGGATATGTCGCTCAATTTTGTGGATTACTTGAAGTTAGACATTAACACCGTTGGATACCAACCGGTTCAATGGTCTAGCGGTTAAGTGCTCTTGTGCGAAACCAGTAGGTGCTGAGTTTGAATCTCGCAGGGAGCGAGTTCGTGAATGCGCACTGCTGAAGAATCCCACAATTGAATGAAACGGCCGTCCAGTGTTTCCAGCTTTTCCATGGTGATCGAGCTTTAACTAACTCATGATGTTAGTAAATTGAAGAGTTTAATCCAAACTATATCTACGATTGTCAATGGTTTATACAAGCTCTATTCATTCGTAAAGTCATAGAGGTCAACACTATTCTAAGAAAGCTAAACTTATATGATATCTAATTTTATTCAACAAGCCTAAAACGAATTATATCTTAATACATCTTAATCATATTCTAACCTTTATCGATGAATTGTTGTATACAATATGGAATAGTTGATTCAATTTTCAATGTAATCTAAATGTTAACATTAATAGAATAAGATAAATTCTAGATCTGTACTGTTGATTCACAATTCATTTTATGCATTATCAAGTAGTATATTCATAAAGATGATTAATCACACAAATTGAATTAGTTGCTTTTCAATTGTTAACAGTGATAAATAGTGAGTTTCAATAACTTACTTACTTACTTACTTACTTACTTACACCTGTTACTCCTAATGGAGCATAGGCCGCCGACCAGCATTCTCCAACCCACTCTGTCCCACACTGCCTTCTTTTCTAGTTCCATCCAATTCTTGTTCATTTTTCTCAGGTCTAGCTCCATTTCTTGGTGTAATGTATTCTTTGGTCTTCCTCTCCTCCTTTGACCTTGAGGATTCTAATTCCTAGAGCAGAGTTTAAATGATTTGAATTATTTCTTTAATGAGTTAGTTTTCTACAACGTGGGGTTATTAACCTCATCTCAAACTCTTTTCTTTTACTTAGACTTAAGACCAACAGTAACTCTAGAAGTGTTACACGTGGAGTTTTATATATTGAAACTTGATTATAACCTATTACTTTAAATCAATATTATATCTTAACAAGTTTGTAGATAAGTGTATGATTGTTTGTTTGTTTTGTTTTGTTTTATTTAGCGAACAATTCAAAAAAATGCACAATATGTATGTCTTCAAGCTAAAAATTGTATAGTAGATAAACGTCGACGTAATCGTTGTCAATATTGTCGATTTCAAAAGTGTTTAAAAGTTGGAATGGTTAAAGAAGGTTAGTTTATTTCAATTTAATGTACAGTGATTATAGAATTCATTCATGGCAACTATATTACTATTGGATGGAAAAGATATTCATTTAGGCCTAGTAACATAAGTGTGGTTTATCTTACAAATTTGTTGTGTACAAAGAAACGATATGTTATATAATCTCCCCCCCTTATTTATTTATAAACCCTTAGGATTACCAAAAATTATTAGTCGGTTAAATATACTCAACATTCATCGTCCCTGTTATTCCCAGTTCCCATTCTTGTTGTGTTTTTTTTTTTTGATAGACCACTTCTCCTGTCACCTTGAGGATTCCAAGTGAGAGTTTGTCTTGTGATACAGTTGTGTGCATTCCTTAATGTGTGTCCTATTCATCTCTAACACTTCTTCCTGGTTTTTTTCCTTCTCTGGGATCTGGTTTGTTTTATCACACAGTAGGTTGTTGCTAATAGTGTCTAGCTAACAGATTCGAAGTATATTGAGTAGGTAACTATTAATAAACACTTGTATATTCTGGATGAGAGACTTTTGACCTTGTTGTTGGTTGACAGTGATTTTGAGTTCCATATATTTTTCAGTTGTAAGTATGCTACTCTTGTTTTGCTGATCCACGCTTCCACATCTGCATCAGATCCACCGTGTTCATCAATGATGCTGCCCAAATATGTAGAGTCTTTTAAATCTTACAAATCTTTTCCGTCATGTGTGATTTGATCGATGGGTTTTGTTTTTCTCTTTTTGTATGTTGAGACCTACTGTTGCTGAAACTGCTGCTACACTAGTTGCCTTCTCCTGCTTTTGTTGTTACGTGTGAGATAAAAGAGCCGGATCATCTGTGAAGTCTAGATTGTCTATCTGCATCTTATCTGTCCACTGTATCTCATGCTTCTCTTGAGATGTTGATGTCTTCATAATTCAGTCGATTACTAGGAGAAAGAGAAAATATGAGAGTAAGGAACCTTACCTGACACCGATTTTTACCTCGAACGAGTCCGTCCATGCCCGCTTTTTCAATGTAATTCATCATAATAATTCCGTATGATATTGACTATTATTTCAGGTACGCCGTAGTGTCGAAGAAGCCTTCATAGTGTTGTCCTGTCCACGCTATCAAATGCTTTTTCGTAGTCAATGAAATTGATGTAGAATGATGAATTCCATTCAATTGATTGTTCTATAATGATCCGTAGAGTTGCAATTTGATCTGTACACGATCTATCCTAACAAAAATCTGGCCTGTTGATCTCGAAGTTGGGTGTTTACAGAGTCCTTCATTCTGTTTAATAATACCCTATTGAAGACTTTTCATAATAATCTTTACTTGTTTTTTTCTAACTTTGCAACAATAACTAATAAAATTACTTATGGATCATAATAGATATAAACCATATAAATGAACTTAAATTAAGATTTTCTAGATCGGTTTTTTGATGGAATATTCTAATAGATCACTAAAACAGATATCTATTATGATCAGAAGAGATTTTGTAGATAATATAGTAATTTAATAGTTAAGATCATGAGTCCATTAGAGCTAGACCACCATAGAAAACTTAGAATTACTGGACTGACGTTTTATTCTATCTCGAAACTATTCAACAGTGCGCATCCACGATTCCACTTCGCGAGACTCGAACCCAGGACTTAACTGTCCCACACTCGAACGATTAACTATTAAACCATTGATCCGGCTAGCATTTAATGGTTTTAATATCTAAATTTAACTATTCCACATAATTGAGCGACAAATCTATTCTCTATTATTTCATTAATTTCAAATAATTCTCAGTTTATGATGAATAATCTATTTATTTATTTGAACATATAAATACTGGTACAAGGAGGTATTAGATACATATGCGCCATATAAATCATCTTAGGAGGTCACACTCGTAGCCTTTAACGTAAAAGTTTCATCCACAAAACAATAGAGCAACATAAGGAGATACAGTCCAATGGCAGCCAGTAGCCAATGGTTAGTTCATATGTGATTTGTTGACTCAAGATCCTGTAGCCTATGTGCACTATTGGTTTGAAATTAGAGTTTTCCAACTCAACTCGATGAACTCTTTGTGTTCATTAACCCGATTAAACACCTGAACATTCGCTTTTCATCCCTTTAATTCCGTAAACAACACCTTTGCCACAAGAATGCATTGATTAGAACTTCCTTAGAAGAAGCTATATACACGTAGCCGTATAAAAGTATTACGAAAGGGAGAACTAACTCTTTCCACTCTTAGCCATACCAAAGCATTTAGAAGAACTATGTAAATTTTAGTAAAACAAAAATTCAATTTTCTATATTTTATCCACAAAGAAAAAAGAAAAACGAAGAAAAAAAACGCAAAAGAAAACAAGAAAGAGGAAATTTTACAATAACATAAATACTCTTTATAGACGAGTCCATTTTTAAGATTTCCATTTACATAGTTTATTAATAGTGTGGTAATTTTTGACTCTGATGAATATGCACAAAATCACACACACATATGCACACACACACATGAACACACACACATGCACACATACACACACACATGTACACACACATGAACGTAATAGTATATGACTAGTCAAATGACTAGTCATATATATATATATATATATATATATATATATATATCATATGAACATACATGTACAAGAAAATGAAAAGAAAAAAAAACAGAACAGTTCCTTTCAAAGTAAAATTCTATTAAATTCTCTTTATAGAAATAAGAATAAGCATTAAATTTTAAGGAATATAAATAGGTATATATATATATATATATATATATATATATATATATATGTGATAAAGAATAAATGATGACGTTTCTCTATTTTTTTTTCACATTTTTCTTTTCTTTTCTTTTGTTTTCTTTTTTTCCCCCTTTTAAAACTTTCCACTTTTTTTTCTTTTCTTTTCGTTTTTTTTCTTTTTTTTTAAAGATATATTTTATTCAGATTTCATTTTGGTTTTTTTGGTTATTCTTTGTGTGTGTGTGTGTGTGTTTTCAATCTACAAACGAACTAACCTATTCGATCATTATCTATTTGGTTACTATTTCTTTCAGTTTACTGATATCATATCCGTTTTAGTTTGTGTTTTTTTTCTTTTGCTTATAAATAAGAAGTATCTATGTTTAAGATGATGATGATGATGATAATGATGATGATGATGATGGTGATGATGATGATGATGCTATTGATGATGCTACTGATGATGATGGTGCTGCTGCTGATGATGATGATGACGATGACGATGGTGATAGCATACCAGACTGAAAGTGATTTATTTTCTTCATTTATATATATACATATATATTCTCCTACATTTGTATGAATTATTTATCACTAATGGTAAAAGGGAAGACACTATTGAATAATGAAAAATGAAATTCCCCTTTATTCTATGCATCTATGTATCCATGCATATATATATATGTATATATACATCTATCTATTTATCCCTACTTTACTTTATAGTTTTACGAATATAAATAAATGGGATAATTTATTATTTTTTTCTTTTTTTTTGTTTCTTTTTTTCTTTTTATTTTTTACTTCATTGTAATCAAAGCAATATGGTAGTAGAAAAAAAGAATTAAGTAGAGAATGTTTGTAACAGAAAATAAATGAAACTTAAAAGGGAAACATAATACAGACTAAACTTACCATGTAAATGTATTTGTATGCATATATATATATATGTATATGTATATGCATGTATGTGTGTGGGTGTGTGTATGTGCCTGTGAAGATTCAAGAAAACCTTCTATACTATTTTGTATCATGATAATATTGTGTTCCGACAATGACATAATCATATAATTCATTTATGAATACAAGATAAGCAATATTATTATTATTATTATTGTTGTTGTTGTTTAAATGGAAAACAATCCTGTCGTATTTTCAATGTGCTTGTTGTTGTTGTTGTTGTTGTTGTCATAGTTACAACTTTGTAAAAATTTCAAATAACTGAAACAATTTTTAGGAAATAAGGTGAAAAAAAAAATAAAGTATTATAGTTGCTAAGATTAATAATTTTAAATTATTTTATTGATTATTATTTGTTGGATATAGAAGACGAGATGGGGGTGGGGTGGGGTGGGTGTGAGAGATGAGACTATAATTTATGAATTGGTTGATGTTACACACTAACAGCATTGGATACCGGCCAACTTATTGGTCTAGTAGGTTAAGTGTTCGCGTGCAAGAATGAAAGCCATGGGTTCGAATCCAGTGAGTGGGATCGTGGGTGCGCACTACTGAAGAATCCAATATTCTAGAACAAAAACGGCCATCCAGTGCTTCCAAGTTTTCAACAGTGGTCTAACATCAATTGATTCATGATCTGAATTAGAAAAAATTTATGAATGAACTTTGAACAAACATAAAATCATTTTAAGAATGTGTTATTAACTTATTAGAGTGAAAATGAAAGTTATAAACCAATGTGAAGAGTTACCGTTGATAATTAAGGTTAACAATTAGATTTTCATTATGAATTGATAATAACTAAAATGCTGAAAATTCTATTTTTAACCAAAATGGATAAATGAATTTTTGCGCTAAAATTGAAAATCTATTCTTTTGAATCTGATTGGTTCGTTTATAAATTATAGTTTGGCTGATAAATAGAAAGAACTTAACGTATGATTACTTTGAATCGTAGATAATCCTTATCTTTACAATGTATTCAATGAGATTATATGATAAGCATTGGTAGTACATTTTTAGCTTGTTATTCTAGTGATGAAAGACAGTATATGTTTTGTGTTTGCTGATGGTAAAGGGACAATTTTTGGGGGTGGGGTGGGGTGGGTGAAAATTTGACATTTATGTTGTCTTTGTTAAACTATGCTGATCTATATTCACATATGAGTTGAAACATGTTACTCAATAGATGTGTCTAATTCTAAAGGAGGGACAGTTATAGACTATTTTACTATTGTCTAAGGAAAATGTCTCTAACGATTTGTATTCAAAAGATTACTCCATGGGGTGTAACAAAAATTGATCATACAATATGACCTAATTGTTCTTAATTATGTTCTTCGTAATTATTATTATTATTATTATTATTATTATTATTATTATTATATGCAAGGTTTATGTTATGTTATCCACATGTGGAGAAATTCGTACACTTCACTTTTAACTGAAGTTTTGTACTTTTGATGTCGTTCAGAAGAACGATGAAAGCTCCACAATGAAATGATTCAGCTTAGAGAAGAAAACTCCATAGAAATCATTCACGGTAACAATCAGTCATAGAGTTAAGGATCAGCAGTAATTTCAATGGTTTAGATCATGAGTCAGTTGAAGCTAGACCATCATGGAAAACCTGGAAGCACTGGATGGCCGTTTCGTCCTATTGTGGGACTCCTTCTTCTGATAGTAATCAACATATGCTCACTAGTGACTGGCTTCAAGAGGTATATCCTACAGTTCTAGTGAGAAGTAGTGACCAGTGGAGTTCAACTAGCTCTGTTGTAAGATAGTAACTCACTGATGACAATGGTGGATATGTCGCTCAATTTTGTGGATTACTTGAAGTTAGACATTAACACCGTTGGATACCAGCCGGTTCAATGGTCTAGCGGTTAAGTGCTCTTGTGCGAAACCAGTAGGTGCTGAGTTTGAATCTCGCAGGGAGCGAGTTCATGAATGCGCACTGCTGACGAATCCCACAATTGAATGAAACGGCCGTCCAGTGTTATATGCAAGATTTATGTTATGTTTTCCACATGTGGAGAAATTCGTACACTTCCCTTTTAACTGAAGTTTTGTGCTTTTGATGTCGTTCAGAAGAACGATGAAAGCTCCACAATGAAACCATTGAGCTTAGAGAACAAAACTCCATAGAAATCATTCATGCTGAGCTACAAATCTTCTTTTCGTCATGTGTATTAATGGATCCACTTACAAATTCATCCAATAAATGTTAGTGTCTTAAAACACTGTGGTTCCATTGTACAAATAGAAATAATCGAATGATCAAGTACAGTCCGAAACATCAATGGGAAGATACAAGCCAAACAATACCAAGTAAATTTTAATTTTAACCCAATGAACAATCACATTGCTATTAAAACTCAGTAGCTAACTGGATAACGTGATAGTGTTTGAAGCAAACAATACTGAATTGGAGTCCCACAGTGAACATCAACTCTGACATGCAAGTATATCCAGCTGATGAGTTCTAATGAAATATCATGGTTGTCAGGAAGAACAAATAAGAAACTTTTGTTTGTATCACACTACATCAATACTAGCTGTTCTAAATCAAAATTTCCATAAAGTTCACTAATATAAAGTTTGAGAATTTCCTAAGATCTAGTCATTGTTGAATACGTAATTATTGTTTACGTATGGTTTGAGTTATTTTAGCGAATTTGTTTTGTACGGGATAGGGGTCGTTAACCCCATGCCCAACTCCCCCTCCTTGAATCAGGCTTGAGACCGGCAATAATTCTAGATGAACTATAGGCGTAGTTTATTATTGAAGTGTTAAATTTTTTTTTTGTTTTTTTTTTTTTTAATTTAAAATTATTCCCATGATGAAATAATTGTAGTTCGTAGATTTGATCTCGGAACCATTCTAGACGTGGATTGTTAAGGAAATTTAATGAATGACTAAATTATTAGTGATTTTATAATTGAAAATGATCAATGATGATCATTTCTTTTAGTTCATCCATAGATTTACATTACTGACTTACTCTGTTTACTTGCAATGAAGCATAGGTCACCGATTAGGATTCTCTAATACACTCTATACTAGACGTTTGATTTTAGTTCTATACAATTGTTTGTCATTCTTCTCATATCTGTCTTCATTTATCAGCACAATATGTTCTTTGATCTTCCAATTCTATTTCTTCAATCTTGAAGATTCTAAATAAGGCTTTACCTTATGATGTAGTTGTATACTTTTCTCAATGTGTTTCCTATTCATTTTCAATATATTTCTTCTCGATTTCTTCATTCGCTTGAATCTGTTTTTTTTTCTTTTTCTCTTTCACAGTAGATAGTGTCCAGTCAATGGATCCGAAGTATTGTGTGTAAACAATTATTCATAAACATTTATAAGAAATCTATAAAGCATAATTTTGAATGATCTTTAATTGTTTTTCTTTTTCTTTCTTTTTTTTTTCTTTTTTGTTTTTTCTTTTCATTAGTTGTTCGTCGAGATAGTCTTAAAGGTCGTCGTGGTCGTTTATCATCGAAAGCACGTTGTCAATTAAATGAACATGGTGGATTAACTCATTATTATAATGATAATAATAGTAATAATAATAATAATAATAATAATAATATTCATAAAAATCTATTACCATTACATAATTTTCTTCATAAACGTAATAGTATCTCACCAAATTATTCATCGATTCATGGTAAACGTTATTCAAGTTGTAATCTACAATTGAATCATTCAAATAGAACAAATACTTGTCATGTCAATTCAACAGTTACACTTTTATCAATGTTAAGTAGAGCATATGAATTGATTGGACCAACTAATCATTCTATAATCAATAATAATAATAATAATAATAATAATAATGAGAATAATAATTATATTCAAACAAATCAATACTTAAATAAATATGATGTATTCAATGAAGAAATAAAAGATTCTTTACAAACTTCACCAGATACTATTGAAGTAAGTTGATTTATTTTAGTTGAATTTCTTGAATGATTTATTTTGATTGTGATCATGAATTGATTGATGACTGTTTTGTTTTATTGTGAAATTCTATAGTAGAGTACAAAGTTATTCATTAGTGAGTACATACATACTTACTTACTTACTTACGCCTGTTACTTCTCGTGAAGGAGAATAGGCCACTCATCAGCATTCTCCATCCAACTCTGTCTTGGGCATTCCTTTCAAGCTCTTTCCAGTTCTTATTCATCTTTTTCATATCTACTTCTATTTCCCGATGTAATGTGTTCTTTGGCTTTCCTCTTTTCCGCTTCCCTTCAGGATTCCAAGTTAGCGCTTGTCTTGTAATGCAGTTTGATGATTTCCTCAATGTATGTCCTATCCATTTTCATCGTCTTTTCCTAATTTCCTCTTTAGCTGGAAGCTGGTTGGTTCACTCCCACAAAAGGCTGTTGCTGATGGTATCCGGTCGATGGATGTTGAGTATCTTGTGTAGACAGATATTGATAAATACTTGCACCTTCTTGATGGCGGTTGTTGTAGTTCTCCAAGTTTCAGCTCGTATAATAGAACTGACTGTCTTGACGTTCGTATTGAAGATTGTGACTTTGATATTGGTTGACATTTGTTTTGAGTTCCATATGTTCGTCAATTGAAGGAATGTGACTTTTGCTTTGTCAATCCTCGCCTTGACGTCTGCATCTGAACCTCCTTGTTTATCGATGATGCTTCTCACGTATGTGAAGGATTCTACATCTTCCAGAGTTTCGCCATCAAGAGTGATTGGATTGCTGTTCTCCGTGTTGTGTTTGAGGACCTTTGTTCTCCCTTTGTGTATGTTGAGACCTACTAATGCAGAGACTGATGCTATACTGGCTGTCTTTATCTGCATTTGTTCGTGTGTATGTGATAGGAGGGCTAGGTCATCTGCGAAGTCGAAATCGTCTAATTGGTTCTGAGCTGTCCATTGTATGCCGTGGTTTCCCTCAGATGTCGAGGTCTTCATAATCCAGTCGACAACCAGAAGAAAAAGGAAGGGAGAGAGTAGACAGCCTTGTCTGACTCTGGTCCTTACTTGCAATGCATCTATCAGCTGTCCTCCATGCACTACTTTGCACTGTAGTCCGTCGTATGAGTTCCGAATAATGTTGATAATCTTCTCAGGAACTCCGTAGTGTCGAAGAAGTTTCCATAACGTCCTCCTATCTACACTGTCAAATGACTTTTCATAATCAATGAAGTTGATGTAGAGTGACGAGTTCCACTCAATTGATTGTTCGACGATGATCCGTAGTGTCGCAATTTGATCTGTGCACGACCGATCCTTACGAAATCCAGCTTGTTGATCTCGAAGTTGAGCGTCTACTGCGTCTTTCATCCTGTTCAGTAACACTCTGTTGAAGATTTTACCTGGTATTGACAGTAGAGTGAGTACCCTAGTGAGTACATAGGGTTGTGGAAATTCTGTGAGGGAATTCTCGGAGTTCTTGTGAGAATCCATGGCTAATGAAGGTATTTGTTGTTGAGGAGAGATAGGAATCTACCTCAGTATAATAAAAGATGGTGATGTAATTTTGTAGATTGGTTAAGGTTAGATATCAACACCGTTGAATACCGACTGGCTCAATAGTCTGATGGTTAAGCGTTCACGCGCAAGACTGAAGATCCTAAGATTGGATCCTGTGAGCGGGATCGTGAACGCGCACTGCTAAGAAGTCCCATGATAGGACAAAACGGCAGTGCACTGCTTCCAGGTTTTCCATGGTGGTCTAGCTTCAACTGACTCATAATCTTAACCAGTGAAATTACTACAATCTCCACAAAACCCCTTCTCATATATATATATATATATATATATATATATATATATATATATATCTTGAATATTTCTCTTTCTGAGAGCACTTAATAATAAAAATGCTCTTAAAATCTTCTATCCAAGTGTTTTACATTCTTCTCATATCTGTCTCCATTTATCGGAGTAATGTTTTCTTCGGCCTTCGACTTTTCGTTTGGCATCGAGGATTCCAAGGGAAGGCTTGTCTTGTGACGCAGTTGGGTGTTTTCCTCAATGTGTGTCTTATCCACTTCCAGTGCTTCTGACTAATTTCTTTCTTCTCTGGAATCTGGTTTGTTCTCTCACACAGTAGGTTGTTGCCAATTGTGTCTGGCAAACGGATTCGAAGTATTTTGCGTAGATAACTCTTGATAAACACCTATATAATCTGAATGATTGTTTTCGTAGATCTCCAAGTTTCCACCGCATACAGTAGAACTGTTTTGATATTTGTATTGAAAATGCTGACTTTGTTGTTTGACAGTTGTTCTGAGTCCTAGATATTCTTCAATTGTAGATATGTTGCTCTTGGTTTTGCGATCCGCGCCGCCACATCTGCATGAGATCCACCGTCTTCATCAATGATGCTGCCCAAATATGTAGAGGCTTTTAAATCTTACAAAGCTTCTCCGTCAATTGTGATTTGATTGGTGCATGTTGTGTTGTATTGGAGAATCTTGCTTTTTCTTTTGTGTATGTTGAGACCTACTGCTGTAGAGGCTGCTGCCACACTGGTCGCCTTCTCCTGCATTTGTTGTTGCGTGTGAGATAGAAGAGCCAGATCGTCTGCGAAGTCTAGATTGTCCAGCTGCATCTTAGCTGTCCACTGTATCCCGTGTTTCCCTTCAGATGTTGACATCTTCATGATCCAGTCGATTACCAGGAGAAAGAGAAAGGGTGAGAGTAAGCAAGCTTGCCTGACACCGGTCTTTACTTCGAACAAGTTTGTCAACTGTTTTCTATAAACGATTTTGCAGTTTAATCCATCATAGGAGTTCTGTATATTATTGACTATCTTCTGAGGCACGCCATAGTGTCGAAGAAGCTTCCATAGGTTTGTTCTGTCCACGCGGTTAGTATGGTAGTTAATACTTTAAATTAATTGGTCTATCAGTTGAAAATGTTTCTAAACTTAACTTGAATTTCTATTGTTATATGACTTGAATCATTTTAGAAAGGATTTTATTAAACCTTTGGATCAATTCATTACTTTACCACTGTTAACTTAAATGAGTTAAATGTCTCAATAATAGTTCTATGAGATCATACATCAGACCCAAGTATTCTACAGGTCATTTAAAAGGAGATGACACAATGGTGTCTACACTTTCATTGAATTTCAAATAATGATTAATAATGGAAACTGAACAACATGTTTCTTTCTTCTTATTGTTGATGTATCGAAAATTGTATCCATCATGACCTAATAAACTTTGAAGTAACTGTTACTGTATTCAAATTTTAATAGACAAGTCAATACTAGACGCATACAAACACTAAATCCCATACTAGAATGAAATAGTCGTTCAATACTTCCAGAATAACCATGGTAGTAACTAATAAATCTTGCAATTTAAACGCTATACTCGGTTCCTAAGCTATTCTTGAAACCCTCAAGCTAGAACTATACAACGATCTGAACACGAGAGAAAAGGCGGAAAGTAATGCGAAATGTACTTTACTCCAAGGTTCCTTTTAATACAGGAAAAAATAGGGTTTTTATAATATTCTAAATGTCCTTATGTTGATCGAAGATTCTGGAATGCTATTAAACTAGTAACAGTGTAGTAATCAGTCAATCAGAACCTCCACATGTGATGTTTCACATCCTTGATGTTTCTGGCTAAAACTTCAACTGAACACTGATTGGATGAAATGCTTCTTAATGTTTTCTGATCCTTACTTGTGTTTTACGAGAATTTTTCTGGATCATCCCAACAGTAACCATGGTAACCATGAATTCAACTATTAAAAATTACTATAATCTCCCCGACACCTGCCAAACTTCCTCGATCATTCAAATAATTAACAAACTATCTTAGATATAATTATATTATTCGAATGAGAAATGTCTAAAAAGAAAAATCAATGTAATTCAATAATATGTTTTTCAATATATTTCAATGATTAGTACTACTAGTGTTAAATCAGTCAATCAGTTACAACATAGGACCAGGCATATAGATACATCGTTACAAGTTGTCACAGAATTTTGAGATGGTGAAGAAGATTTGTAGCACAGGTAGATAATTTTGATAGAGTTTTGCTCTCTGAGATGAATGTTCTGGTCGTGGGTCTTTCATCGTTCTTCTGAACGACATCATCAGCATAAAATTCAGGTAGAAATCTTCTTCTTCTTCTACCTGAAGTTTGTTCTGATGATGTCGTTCAGAAGAACAATGAAAGCTCCACGACTAAACTATCCAGCTCAGAGAACAAAACTCCATCATGCTGCCATACCTTATTAGTACAACAAGATGAACAACAAAGTCATAGAAGTAGTCACTGCAATGGTAGTAATATACAAAAGAAATATTGTATATGAAGAAAAAATTGGTTGGTACAAAGAATGACATAAAGCCATTTTAATCTTACAGTATAAGAAAAGACAGAGAGTATACACACCTACACTATTGTGATCGCTTCTAAGCCATGTCACTCAATCAGGTGGATTACTTTCTATTCAAGCCTAGAATTCATATTATTTCTAATTACAGCATATATATAACTAAATCTTAAACATCGAAGTAAATAGGAGTATTTAAAAAGACTGAATTTTCACATTATTTGAAAAACAATTATTTCGGCCAATAGTATAGTTCGATTGATTCATCACGATAAACAAGCCCAATTACCATGTCAAAGTAGTAACAATTGTTGGAACTAGTGTTAAATACATCAGTGGTTGAGATCATGAGACAATTGAAGCTAGACCACCATGGAAAACCTGGAAGTACTGAATGGCTTTTTCGTCCTATTTTGGGACTCGTCAGAAGTGCACATATACTCTCTCGCCCCCCCCGCGAGATTCGAACCCAGGAGACATAATCTCAACCATTGAGATTTCTATAATATCCACAAAACCCCTTCTAATATTATTCAACATATGATCACTAGTGACTGATTTCAAGAGGTATATCCTAGAATTCTAGTGAGAAAC